AACAAGGAACACAGAGACAAACTCATAGATAGCAGGATGACAGCTAAGGTGGAGAGGGGAGGTTGGGGGTAGAGGGATTGAGCAAAAAGGAGAAAGGACTCATGGACATGGACAACAGTGTAGTGATTGCTGGGGTAAGGGACATATAAGGGGACTAAATAGCAATGGAAAAGTACAATAAAAAATAAATAAATAACATTTAAAAGAAAAAAAATTCTAAATGTGAGTATGAGGCTTGTTAACCTTGAGCTTTTCTGCTGGATGGCGTGGCTATACAATTTTCTTGGTTAATGAACCACTGGTATGAAGAGTGTTAGATCTTTCTTCTGAAATTCTTCAGATTTCCCAAAGATGATTCATTCATTCTTCTGCCTGATGGGCAAAGGGCTTGCTGCTTTCATCCTTGGAGCAGAGTAAGAAATGTTATTGAGTGCCGGGAGAGTGGATTAGAACAAAGGGTGTCATGTTTGACATAGGTTTCATCTGATTGTCCTTATGTCACTGTTCTCTTCCATGTCCTCATTTTTGAGGTAACTGCTTGCATTTGCCAAGATATAAAAGATTATTCAGCCCTTGCTGGTGTGGCTCAATGGATTGAGTGCTGGCCTGTGAAACAAAGGGTTGCCGGTTCAATTCCCAGACAGGGCTCATGCCTGGGTTGTGGTCCAAGTCCCCGGTGTGGGGGTGCACAAGAGGCAACCACACATTGATGTTTCTCTCCCTCTCCTTCTCCCTCCTTTCCCCTCTCTCTAAAGATAAATAAATAAAATCTTTTAAAAAAAGACTATTCGTATCGAGGCAAAGTGAATTCCTATGTTTTATGACTTAGCATAACAAAACTCTGCTATATAGCATCCATATCAAGGGATCTAAGCTAAGGGAGTCTCAATCTCTGTACTTTCCTATTTGCCAAGGCAGGAAGGAAGGGAACATGATGAAATATACTCTGGCCCTTAAAATAGCTTATCCTTTATATTTTAGAGGGGCATATAACTATAATCTTGTAACATGCCTAGGAAGAGATCCCAGAAATACTGGTGAACAGCACTAATGATTTTATCTTGCTGCTGATAGTTCCTCCTGGGTCTTTTCTGTACTTTGCTGTGCAGATTGGGTTTGTCCTCCAGCTTTTCCCTGCTGATTTAGGAGTTTTCATTTTAAATGGGCTAAGCTGGTTACCACTTACTTGTTCATTTTGATGTTGCTGTTATCTTTTCTCCCATTTTTGCTGTTACTTGGAGTTATGTCTTGAATAATTACTTTAGTTTTTGTGTAGTTTCACAAAGGAGTGTATTGGATGCACGTATTCAGTCTGACATAATTATTTGAAAACCTATGCTTGTGATTTTCTGTAAATTGAATGAGCTAATTCTACAACTTTGAGCTTTACTGAAAATAATTTAAAGAGTGTGATAAGGTAGATGTTTTCAAAAAATATTTTATTATCAAGTTTGTATTGATGTGAACAACATTTTGATCTCACAATTCTTTCTCTATATATTGGATTTTCAAAGGTGTTCCTAAATGAAAGCATAGCAATTATAAATAATAGCAATTTGTTGAGTCTTAGAAAAGTCAGTTTGTTAAATTTCACAGATCTAATATTTACTTAGGGATTTATTACTTACTTACAAATCCTTTTGCAAGTTATAAAGCTTCAAATCCTTTGCTTTTATCAAACTTAAAGTAGCCAAGCAATAAGTTAGTTGTTCTGTCAGTTATCTGCTGTCCCCCAAATGCTGCCTAACAACCAACCATACACTTTAATGACAAACTTCATTGTATTTGTTACATGTATATTCTTCTCATGAGTCTATGGGTTGCCTGATCATTTTGCTAACAGAAGTTTGGCTTGAGTGATCCAGGCTGGGCTTACTCTTCCTCCTTGGGGAGCTGTGAAAGAGCAGACAGCGTGCTGGTGGAGGCTGGCCAGCTGCCAGCCAGGGTGCCTCAGCTCAACTCCAGGTGGTCTCTTATTTTCTAGTAAGCTTTCCTGAGTATCTTAGTCAGTTCCAGCTGCTACAAAAGAATATCATAGATTAGTGGTTTAAGCAACAAATATTTATTACAGTTCAGGAGGCTGAGAAATCCAAGATCAAGGCACCAATAGATTAGGTGTCTGCGGGAGCCTTTTTCCCAATGTGCAAAGAGCTTCCCTCTCCCTCTGTCTTCAGATGTCAGAGAGAAGGGAGGGGGAGGAGGGCAGGGAGAAGGGGAAGGGGGAAAGGAGGAAGAGAGAGAACAAGCTAACTCTCCTCCTACAAGGATAATATCATCACAAGGGATCCACCTTTATAACCTAATTACTTCCCAAAGTCCCTTCCTACAAAAACCATCACATTATGGTTTCACAGTATGAATTTTGGGGGGATACAAATATTCAGTGTACAACACTGGGCTTGTTCTCCTGGTGGTAGAAGGGTTCCAAGAGAAAAAAACAAAAGCCTGTAGGTCCTAGGCTTGGAATTGACACAAAATCACTTTTGCGGCATTCTGTTGGTCAGTATTAGTCATAAGAACAGCCCAGATCCAAAGTGTGGGAAAATAGACTTTTCTTCTTGATTAGAAGACTCATAGCATCAAATTGCAAAGGATGTGGATATAAGGAAGAGTGCAAATTAGGTCTGGTTTTTTAAATTCTGTCTTCCAGAGATGTCAAGTGATAGGTCATTAAAAATACTTTCTGATGGTTAAAATATAAATGGGGCATAAATCTCCAAATAAGTTTAAAGAACTGAATAACTTTGCTGGAAGTAAACATTTTTTGTCCTTGGCTGTGGACATATTTCCTCAGTGCTTACCTATACATAATACATTCATTTTCAACTAATGTCTAACCCCTCTCACTCAAAAATAGTCCATCCAGATTTTCATCAAGAGATGATTTCTAATATAAGTTTACATTTTATATTTAATAATTTCTTATAAAGTTGAAATGTATTCTTTAAATTGTATATAGTATAATTATAATAAAAATTTTCAACACAGCTTATCATATATTGTACAGAAAAGTAAAATGACGAAAAAGTAAAAAATTATCAGGCAAAATATATTTTATTAAAATAAAATTATGTGTGAAAATAATGGAATCAATACAAGTTCAAGGAGAAAAAGGAACAGTATAGAATTACCAATGGTTAAAAGAAATCTTGTTTATGTATTTTTAGGTAGATATTTGTATATGGCAAGTCGCTATTTCATTGGATATAATTTAAAAAGTAGTATAACTATTTTATTTTAAAATGTCATTACTTAAAGTATGACATTAAGTATATATTATCAAACTGTTCACCTTAAGATGAAAAGTTTTAATATCACCTGAAATGTAGGGAATATTACATAATTAAATAATATGCACATATACATATGCATGTGTATGTATGTATGTTAGGGTTGCAAGGAAAAAAGAAAGCTATTTTAAGGTGATTGCTTTGGGCCTGTTAGTACTCCATCACCCCAATCTCTCTTTTCTTGACTCCATATGGTGACATCTAGAGCCCTCTATGCATATATCATTCTTAAAACTAAAAAACAAACAAAAAATTGTTATCATTTTTTCTGTATGCACATGATTACTTTTTTTAGTTTTAATTTTTTAAATTTTTTTTATTGTTCAAATACAGTTGTCTCCATTTCCCTGCCACCACCGCTTTCCCCTGCCTCAGTTACCCCCACCTCCCACACTGAATCCTTCCCCACTTTGGCTTTGTCCATGGGTCCTTTATACCTGTTCCTTGATTAGCCCCTTCCTCTTCTTTTCTCCATTACCCTCCTCCCTCTTTCCCTCTTGTTACAGTCAGTTTGTTTTTTTTTCTTTCAATGTTACTGGTTATATTTTTCTTGCTTGTTCATTTTGTTGATTAGGTTCCACTTATAGGTGATATCATATGGTGTTTGCCCTTCACCGCCTGGGTTATTTCGCTTAACATAATGCTCTCCATAAAAGTCATTACAAGTTTATTTGACTGAGTCATTGAAACTGTTGCACCTTGCTCCCCAATGGGTATCAATGAAACCTCTTGACTACTGGAGGTCTAAAGTCCTGCTCTCTAATATGATATCTATAGACACAGGTGACTAGCTCAAATTGAGATGTGCCATAGGTGTAAAACACATTGGATTTTGAAGTTTTGGTCCAAAAAAAATATTGTAAATATACATAAAATAAGTTTATCCACTTTTTAAAACATTTTAATATGGCCAACCTGGATTTCTAAAATTATGTATGTGGCTCACATTCTATTCCTGTTGGTAATCATAGATCTATCCCCAAAATCGGGAGTCTTGAAGAGAATCACCTCCGTCCCTACAGGAGTCAAAGAGCACATGACTTCTGGCTTTTTGTTTGTTCATTTTTTATCATTTGTGTAACATTTTATTTATTTGATGGCTGAAAAACACGAGCACAAACTTCTAGTTATCTTAGCACTTATCACAGTTGTAAAATAGTACTTACTTAAGAAATTCTGTTTTTGTTTATCTTGCTCACTAGACGGTAAGTTCTATGAGGTCAGGAATTCTATCTGTTCTTGCTCACTGTTGTACTTCCAGAGTTTAACTAAGCTGAAGGGGCACATGGTAAATCTTTACTAAATACTCAGTTAATGAATAAATGATCCCTCTTGTATACAATGGCATGTCTCAATTTCCAAATGAGAAAAGAGTGTTATATAACAGCTGACATTCATGGCCCACTGAGATGCCTATATGACTTCTGTATAGGGGAGATTCTCCCAATACCTTGTAGGGTTCAACAGGATCAAGCTACTAAATGAAATTATTATCCAAGAGAGAGTCATAAAATGATAAAGGAATGAGGGGAAAGTCATTCCTTTATACCACAGGAGCCTATTATATCCGGTTATTAGAGAGGTGATTAAAGATGACTAGGGAATGAGGTTCCTGGGAAAAATTGGGTGTCCTGAAAAGAAAGTGTGTTCCCCGGTTGCATTTAATGTAAGGTGACTTATCTGCCTTTTCTTTCTTCTTGATTGTTTCAGAACGCTGTGACGACTGGGGACTAGACACCATGAGGCACATCCAAGTGTTTGAAAATGAGCCCGCTCGCATCAAGTGCCCACTCTTTGAACACTTCTTGAAATATAACTACAGCACAGCCCATTCAGCTGGCCTTACTCTGATCTGGTATTGGACCAGGCAGGACCGGGACCTTGAGGAACCAATTAACTTCCGCCTCCCTGAGAACCGCATTAGTAAGGAGAAAGATGTGCTCTGGTTCCGGCCCACCCTCCTGAATGACACGGGCAACTATACCTGCATGTTAAGGTAGCCTGACTTTTGGTGGTGACATTCTCTTTTCCATTTAGTCCCAAGGTCTTTATCCAAATGATACATGGCATGTGTGATAAAGCTGGGGAGAGGAAGGAAGCATCTAGAAAGAGTTATGGACATTTTACCTCAGTGGCTTATCAAAACATGGCTGAAGGAAGAGTGAGGAGAAAATGGTTGTGTTCCTGAGAACAGTCTTCCTAGGTGGTGCCTTTCCATACCCTGACATATATCAAGGTTGTCTAAGGGAGCAGCCTTGTTTATTTGGCCCCTTTCCCTGACCTTGGAACAGGCCTATACTTTGTCCCCACCAGAGGCATCTCTTCCTCTAGAGGCCCAGGGGTGTCCAGCCTTTTGATGTCTCTGGGCCACACGAGAATAAGAAGAATTGTCTTGGGCCACACATTAAATGCATTGTGACACATAATCACGCACAAAAAATACTCATAATGTTTTAAGTAAATTTATAATTTTGTGTTAGGCCACATTCATAGCCTTCCTGAGCTGCATGGGGCCCACAGGCCACAGGTTGGACATCCCTGCCAAAGCAAGGCAGGGAGCAGAACCCACTGGTATCTGTTATTGTCATCTTTCAGAGTGTCTTAAACAGAATAAAATCCTGAGATGCCTTTTATAAAAGGCAGAATATTTGGGAGGCATCATATGTAATTATAACAATGCTTTTCAAACTTTTCTACCAAAATTCCCCTAAGAGGCAAGTGGACACTGTATCCCTGAGAATCTCAGAATATAATCCAAAGCAACCTATCATTGCACAAAATTTCTTTAAAATCCACTTTTTTTCTTGAAAGTTCATGTAAATTTTGCATTTTACTCCACAATATACCTATTTTTCCTGTACTACCAATTAATGTTGCTTTTGCCCTGAAAAAATAAAATTAAACTGAGGCCCTTTAACAAATAATTATTTTAAAGCTTAGTTCTTTGGCTACTTCCCCCCCCGCCCCCCGTGGTTCCTCTTAGCTTTCAGGTTTTATTTTTTAAATTCCCATCTGTGTTATAGATTTTTTACATTGTTTCCTACTATTTAATAAGTACATTGATTTTCTAGGGCTGCCATAACAAAATACCGCAGACTAGGTGGTTTGAACAACAAAAATTTTGTTTTCTCACAGTTCTAGAGGCTATAATTGCAAGATCAAGGTGTTGGCAGGGTTGGTTTCAATTACCTTCCCTTGACTGGTAGACGGCTGTATTTGTCCCATGGCCTCCCGTCTGTGCCTCCATCCTTCATATTGGATAGGGCCTAATCACATGACCTCATTTGACCGTAGTTGTCTTTTTGCAAGGCTTATCTCCAAATTAAGTCATATTCTGAGGTCTTCAACATACACATTTCTGGAGGACGTGATTTGGCCTATTGCCTATAATAATTCAATGCTGAATAACACAACCAGACTGCAGATTAGAATAACATAACAAAACAATAGTTAATCCCAGACCTTTTTCTCAATGTTCCATGTCACTCATGGGTATTAACTGTTCTCTGATGGAGAATTTAGGACCATGCTGTGATAAATCTAAGCTGTGTAATGATTAAGTGGAGAAGGACCTCTTCTCTATCACAGAAAACACATATCAGTCCCTTAACTCTTAACGGCCCTCTGAGGCTTTCACACGACTGTTTAATTATGTTGAGGTATACTCTAAACTGGGGTGTGGGCTTCCAAGGAGCCTGAAATAGTCATGTGTCCATTATTTATATCCTAATACTTCTTTGTAGGAAAGGTTAGGAAATATTATAGTGGAAAGAGCACTGGATGAGAAGACAGAAAACCTAGGCTACAATCCCAGCTCTACCATTGTGTAGCTGGTGATCATAGCCATGTCAGTCCATGTCTGAGAGCTTTGGTATCTATAACTGCACACAAAAATCAGCCTCAGTGCTCTTTGAGCTCCCTTCCATCTTTGACAATTGTTAATCCATTAATATTCATATCTGGACATTAGCAAATACCTGGGAAGGGGTCATCGGTAGCTTTCCGGATGGCCTTCATCTCTACTATGCATTCCAGTGCTTCAGTATCTCTCTTTCCTTTTCCTCAGCAACCAACTACTTGCCTAGAGCTCTTCCCAGACTTTTCTAACCCTCTTTGACATGACAGGAACAAGGCTGCACAGCTGTTAAGGCCCAAGTATACCTTTAATGTTATTTTATTAATTTTCAGATGTTTCCTTAGTTAACCTATCCGCCTAATATCTATATTTCTAACAAAAAATCTAAAATTACACTTGTCTTGTAGGGACACCAGAAATTTCTCATTATCCTGAGTTGATTCCTAAAATGAGAATGGCAAAGCGAACCACTGAAATCATAGCCCTGATGTCTTTAAGGCCATCAAGTTAAGATTTTGTTTCTAGGATTGTACTGCTTATATTCTTGCTTTAATACCCCTATTAAAATAACATCCAGATTTGACTTTTAGCTGGAAAAGCAGCCCAATCACTGTTAATTTCCTTTTTAAAAAAATCAGAAAATGTATCTAAAATTTACCTTCTATAACTTCCACCTATAGAATACTTTTATCTGATAGCCATTTGTTATTTGTTGGCAGGGATCATGCATGCCGCTCTCCCTTTCCACATTATTACCATTGTCATAAGTCATCTTTAAACACCCTTTCCACCCGTCTTGGTCAGGGAAATGCATACCTCCACACTTGCCGTTGTATTTAGCCTTAATTCACAAGTCATTGATGATCTAATGTGTGTTTGATACCTTAAATAGAAATTATTTAAAGGGTGGACCCATTTGCCCATCACCCTAAAAATCAGGTTTTTTTCTTATTTATGTTTTCTTGATTTTTTTCCTGTATGTACACACAAATTTTACATCTATCCCATTCATTCTAACAAATGTTATTCATCATTTTCTGAAAGTTTAGGCACTGTGCTAGGTGCAAGGAATACAAGTAAAAATACATGGTTATGTCCTTATTTGAACTACAATAAAATAAGAGGAACATCACAGCAAATCAGAGCAAGGAAATGTCTGAAGTGCTCAGAGAATTAGTGACCTAATGATGCATAGAGGAGCACAGATAAGACCTCCTTGTGAAAGGTGAGATGATGAGATAAGAAGAACCCTCCAGGCAGACAAAAAAACCTGTCCAGACATTAAAAAAACAATCACCAGCCATCACAACAAGTTTTATGTATTTGTTAGTTTTTTCCTTCAGGATTGATTTTTTTGGGGGGTATGTACAACAGCTTTGAATGGTTATACCACGATTTTCATTCCAGTCTTCATATTTTGTAGATCTTTAAAATTGAATCCAATGTTTTCCTTGCTGCTATAGCACTGGATGGGCATTTTTAATCATGTGCTTCACCTATTACCGATTTGCCATAATTTCATCAAGTGAAAAATTTTCAAAAAATAAGATTACTAGGGCAAAAGCTAAGGCATAATGATTTTATAAATATATTTATTTCCTAAATGTTGTTTATATCATTATCAACCATGAGTTAATATGGTATTCTCACCTTTCTCTTACCAGCACTGAATATCACTGAGAATGTTTTAAGCATAAAATTAATTATATATGCCCACATATACATACACACACACACACACACATATGTATATATACATACACACAAACACATATACATGTTTAGGAGCATATCTAAAATATAAATATTTTAGTATATCAATAGTAGTTCATTATGCCTGTTTTTTCTGTGATGTCAGTTGATATAGGAAATACCTCCATAATGTATTTAATTCTCACATGAACTTGCACATATAAAGTCTCAATACATAGCTTCACTTAGCTTTTTTAAAATGTATTTACTGCATTAAAACAAATGCAAATGAGACTCCCATTCATTGCATATTTCTCTTTTCAGGAACACCACGTATTGCAGCAAAGTTGCATTTCCTCTGGAAGTCGTCCAAAAAGATAGCTGCTTCAAGTCTCCCATGAAAGTCCCAATACATAGACTGTATATAGAATATAGTGTTCAGACGATCACTTGTCCAAACATAGATGGGTTTTTTCCTCCCAGTGTCAAACCAACCGTCACTTGGTATAAGGTAAGCAAACTGGAGGGCATTTTACCCACTCTAAAATGACAGTAATTGCTTGCTGAATTAATGTAGAAACAGATTTTTCTCATCAGATCTTTAATATCTTCTATGATGACTTTATACAAATCTTTCACTGCTTCCTCACCTTATAACATTTTAAAAGGTGCTGGAGAACACGTTGCCTCAACCCATCGTTCCTTAAATTGCATTCACTGACTACTAAAACTACCTAATTTCTGTTAACTCCCTATAAAATACAATTTGAGAAATGTTGCCTACTTTCATTCTCTGCTCAGTGAAGTTGGAAACTGCTAATTCATCTGGTGAATATCAATTCCTTGATTAGTCAATACTGTAGTTTATTACTTGTATGTATTTTCATGTTTGCCCTTATTTGTGGGCACAGTCCATCTGTGGTCTCTTTCACACCTCAGGGAATTGGGAAATGTTCAATAAAAAGTGATAGCAGAAGGTGGCACATGTGACAACAGCAGTTTTTTAATATCTTCAAATATCCACATAAGCCAAAGCCAAAAACTCCTGGACAACATTTAAAACAATGCTCAGTTTCAAGTTATCCACAAGAATCACTGTCAGTAAAACAAATGAGACAAACCGCAAATATGACCCATATAAAATCAGTGTCTATAGGCAAAAGGAGTAGATGGAAGTAATGTGATACCTGGCAGACTGGAGAACAAAACACCCTGAAAGCCAGTGGGTGCTCACTAGAAAGTATGGTGAGCCCATTTGAAAACAGCACCTGAAATAGGGAAGGAAGAGTCCAAGGTGCTTACAGTAAGAAATTATAAAAGGTTTGGAATTTTTCCAGTGCCTCGGAACTCTGAAAAATAGCCACTTACAGTGAAGAGAAATGACTGGGAGTGGAATCAAAAGTAAACAAGATCAGGCCCTGGCCAGGTGGTTCCATTGGTTGGAGTGTCATCCCATGCACCAAAAGGTGGTGGCAGGTTGATCCCTGGTCAGGATGCATATGGGAGGCAACCAATCCATCGCCTTCTCTCTTTCTCTCTCTCTCTCACTCTCCTTCTCTTTCTGAAATCAATAAATATATCCTCAGGTGAGGATTAAAAAAAAAGTAAACATGATTAGAATATTACAGGGTGAGGCAAAAGTAGGTCTGCAGTTGTGAGTACAAGAAACACAGAGGCTATTCTTGTATTATTATTTATTAACTATTGCATTATTTTCCACGTGAACACCTGTAAACCTACTTTTGTCCACTTCGTATAAAGGAAAGAAAGGGCAAGAAAACAGAGTCAGGAAATTACAAGAGCATACTTTAGAAGAGGAATCTCTATCAAATCAGAGAATCTTGCCAGATTATAAAACAAAGAAATCTAAAAAGGATCAAGGTAAAACTCCCAGTCATAGTTTTAAGAAAAAAAGAAGCAGCAGAATAATACTCTACTGAAAAAAAAAGCATGCCTGAAGGACATATTGTAACCCACCATTTCAAAAATGAGCTGAAAACATTAAGAAATTACACAAAATGAGAATGAACAACATAAATAAATTAGAATTATAAAAGTTCAGAAATTATAAAACTCACTAGGAACTTAGAAATTATTTTAGAAATGAAACTAAACTAAGGGGAACATAACAGCAAATGAGCACAATAAATAATGCCTTAGGATTAACAGAAAGTGGAAAGGAGAAAGAAATTTTAAATTAAATGATGGATAAAAATGGGGAGGGTAGAAAATGTATACCAAAAGTATATAAAGTAGACTTTAAGACAATTAGTACTATTAGAAATAAAGAGGACTTTTCAGAATAATGAAAGGGTCAATTCATCAGGAAGACATAAAAATAATAAAACTGTATGTGTCTAATAGCAGTGTTTCAAAATGCAGGAAGCAAAAGTTGATGGAAGCAAAGGACAAAATAGGTAATTCTATAATCATAGTTGAAAATTTTAGCATCTGTCTCTAACTGTCTACATCAGTAATGAAATGACCTAGGAGCAAATTTTAAGAGTTTTGCATTGACCAAAATGGAATAATTTGAATTTCAGTAAGAATATTAATTACAATTGGTCAAATCCCATGAATTAAGTTTAAGTTCATAAATTCGTAATACTATTTCAAAATATTTAATTGGTTGCATTTGGATGATACAGGAAATGAATTTGTTATCTTGAAAACTGGTAAATAAAGAGGGACATTTGAGTATTTATTCTGCCTTTTCTATAAGAAATGTTATAAAAAGATGCAGAGGGGTATGTTTTTATAAAAGGATATGATCACTTTGTAACCCCCAATGACTCAATACATCTAAGCAGTAAGCTTCAGTGACAGCTACCATCACAAAAAAGAGTAACAGCCAGACGTATTACACTTGATGAAAGGATACTATCAATTATAATTGTGCCAAGTGGATTAAACCCCTGGATACTGCTGCCATTTTGCAGGAAATATAGAGAACAAAGGAGTATATCGATCTGTTTGCAGTCAGCAAAATCCAGACTGTGGAAAACTCTATACGCTAAATTTCTTGAGTTACTCAACAGATAAATTACAAGAAAAAGGTATGGTGTGGGAATGTATTGATTAAAAGAAACATATAAGACAAATTTAAAAATCAATGTACCTATAGTGTCTAAGGATGCACATACCGGTGATACAATTATAAATGAAAACAAGCAGTAATTTTACTATAAAAGTATAGATAGTGGCTACTTTGGCAGGTAGTAGAAGAGCTGGGATTGACATAGAGCATGTGGAAGGTGACTGGCAAATTCTGTCCCTGGGCCTGAGCTGCAGTAACAAAGGTGTTTGCTTTACAGTAACTCATTAACTCATACATATGTTTCAAAGGCTTTTTATATACTGTATTTTATAATGAAACAAGAAAATGGGAGGGGAGAAAGTGAGAAAATGACAGTGAGAAAGAGATATTTAAGATCAATTGCAATGTAAAAACCTTAGATCATGTTTTGTTCAAACAAACTATAAAACACGTTATGAGAAAATCAGGGAAACTTGGAAAGAATGTTAATGATATCAGTGAATTACTATTACTGTTTTAAATCATGATGGCGGCATGATAGTTATACTTGCAGAAAGGGTTTTGCTATTTAGGGATACAGAAGTATTTACAAATCAAATTACACAATATCTGGGATTTGCTTCAAAATAATCTAATAAGAATTCTAATTTATTGTTGGTTTTAAGAACAGGAAGAAATTTACAGGCATCTACTCTATGAAACTGACTGTTTCTTGGGGGTAAAGTTATGCCATACCCATCTCTGTATTTCCATTGATTCCCAGATTTTTGTTTTTTCTGTTTGGTTTGATGAATGTAAGAAAGTCTGAAAAAGCAGAGGAGGAGCAGGTGTGGGGAGTAAATGAGGGATTTCGATAAGGTCATATTGTGTTAGAGTTGTCTGGGAGGCATCTAGGGGGCAGTGACCAGTAGTAAGCAGTGGCCGCATGTGTCTGAATCTGGAGCATAGGAGAAAAGTCAAAGTTCAAGTCAAAGAATTGGATGCATCTATAGGAGTAATTTTCAACTTTTTTCATCTCATGGCACACAAACTAATTACTAAAATTCTATGGCACACCAAAAAACATATTTTTTGCTTACCTGACAAAAAATAGGTATAACTTTGATTTATTTATACCAGATGGCTATTTTTGTGTTGACAGTTGTCATTTTTTAATTTGACAATCTAAAGGGAAAGCTGTCAGTGCCTCTGATTAAATAGTCGGGTGTTGCATGTTTTAAAAATTCTTGTGACACGCAAGTGAGTCTCTTGTGGCACACTGGTTGAAAATTGCTAATCTGTTAATATATGATAGTTGGAGCCCTTAAAGGCTAACACTGAAATCTGGAGAGAATGTTCAGGGGTGAATGAAATCAGAAAGCCTGAAAAGAAGACCAAGAAAATAAAGACACAGTGGTGAAACCATTGCCATGGCAGGTACCCAGCAATGTACAAGTGACAAAACAGAAATGGGTAACCAGCCAACCTTTCTATTCTATATAAAAGGTCACTCTTGTTGTGTGGTATACTGCTTTTATTTCTTTCTCTTTGTGTAACTGACTGAAACCATTAATTCTAATAGTTCTGCCATTTTGAGTACAGAATCAGGGTTCTTGGCAACTGTGTTTTCCTGTCACTGTATAGCAATGCTGACATTGCTTCCTATCTTCCACCTTCTACAGTAACTTCATGCATCCACCCAAATAAATATCTTGGCTGTCCTAGAGTAGTTCTCTTTTAATTGTTATTAACTGAATCCCCTGTCTTGACATTGCAGAAATAGTCTCCTTTTGTCATATATAAAAACAAAAACAAAAAACAAAAAACTGTGTGTGAGGTAAAAGATACTTTAACTATTTTTTGCAATTTGCTTCCTCTTAGCAGAAAGACGAAAAGTGGTACATTGAAAGAAGGAAAAGGAAACTAACAAGTCTTGCATTTTACTTGTAAAATACATTGTGCTAGGTACTTTGTATGTTATATGTAATACTCATCACCATCCTTCAGAGTAGATGTCATCCTTTTACAGATTATGAAGCCAAGGCTCAGGGAGGTAAACAATAGAACTAACATTTATTGAGCACAGGGATTCTTCCAGATGCTTTAATTCCTTAACTTAATTCTCTCAGCATGAGGTAAGTTATCTTGTGTTCTGAATTTTATAGTTAAGAAAACTGAAGGATAGAACAATTGAGAAATTTGTCCCAGGTCACCAAGCTAGGAGCAAAGATTTAACCCTATGCCATCTGTATCAAGAGTCCATACTTTTACATTATGGTATATCATTTAGTTAAAAACAAGCTAGCTGATAATAGGAGAATCTGGGATTTCAGGTCAGTTCTTTTTGGTTTCAAGCCTATACTCTCCAGAAATGAACCAGAGAAGGTGGTCCAGTCATTATTTCTGGAGCTTAGGACACTTTGAAGGGTAGGGGTAGTCTTGGATACAGGTTGGGTTGTAGGCTGAACTGTGGAACACACCAAAGCTTGGGGATA